TTCAGGTCCCAGAGTGTCATTTTTAAAGTCCAGGCCCTCCTTCATCAGTTCTAAGCCCTGCATTTCTAAGTTCAAGAACTCATCTTAAGGGGCACAGAGCGTATGTTTGAAGGCCCAAAGTCTGATTGTGAAGGTCCAAAGTCTCCCTTTTAAAATCCAAAACCTTCTTTATTGAGTCCAAAGTCTCCTTTTAAGGTGCCAAGGCTTGTGTGCAGTTTCAAAGGTTTGCTTTCAAAGAACAACTCCTCCTTTAAGCATCCACTCTGCCATTTGGAGGTCCCAATGCTTTATTTTAGGGTTCAAACTGCAAATTTAGGGGACAAAGCTTCCTTTGTTTTATGTCCACAGCCTCCTGTTGAGCTTCCAAAGACCTTTTTTTAGGAACCTTCTCTGCGCAGCTGCTTCTGGTGTGCCAGGTGCCTGAGGAGTTACTATGGAAGGAACAAGATGCTGGCTCGTGCAGGTGCTCGTGGTGTCACAGGGGGCTAAAGAGGTGACAGGGCAGGAGCGGGAGCTGACTTGTACAGCTGCTTCTGATCTCAAAGGTGGCTCAGGAGCTGTTCTGGTAGGAATGGACACAGGGCTTTTGCAGGTGCTTGTGATGTCAGTGGTGTCTCTGCAGCCGTGAGGGCAGGAGCATGCCCCTGTCTACTGCAGCTTTTGATGATGTCAGGGGTGGCCGAGGAGGTGACAGGGCAGAAGCAGGCCCCTGTCTTGTGCAGCTGCTTGGGATGTCCTTTATGGCTGATGAGGTGACGGGACAGAAACAAGCCCCTGATTTCTTCTGTTTCCCAGAAGGCCACTGTTGACTGAGTGGGATATAGGTGCCAAACAGGACCCCGGCATGTGACGGTGCTGGTGATGTCATAGCTGACTGAGTAGGTGGTAGGGCAGGAGTGTGTCCTGGCATATGCAGGTGTTTGTGTGGTCACAGGCACCTGAGTTAGGGCAGGAGCAGGACCTGGCTTGGACAGCGGATTGTGATGTCACTGCTGGCTGAGTATCTCTTTGGCTATGAAAGCACTTGTGTCTTTTGCAGGTTCGCCTGAGGTCACAAATGACTGAATAGTTACTTCGGTACAAATGGACTCCAGGATCTTGTACTTCCGATCTCACAGGATCCCCAGTAGGTAACAGGGCAGGAAGAGGCAGCAGGTTTGTGCTGCTGCTTTTCTTGTCACTGATGACTGAGTAGCTGATAGGCCAGGAGCATGCACCTGCCTTTTGCAGGTTCTTGTGATGGCACTGGTGGCTGAGGAGGTGTCAGAGCAGCAGCAGGACCCTGGCTTGTGTACAAGCATGTGATATTTCTGCTACCTGCATCTGTGCTATGCTAGGAGCATGCCTCTGGCTTAGAGTCATGGATTCTATCAGTTAGGAAGGAAC